GTTATTTCTCTAAATTAGATTCTGCAAATTAGCAATGTATCGTCCATATTAAACGTGGGCTTCCACTTTCAGGTTATTCAGTCAATTGTAGCATTCTAAAATTTGGTATACCTAAATCCACTCTCTTAACAGGGTTGCTTGATATAGGATAGAACCCCAATAGGCATTTCACTATTGAAAACAGATCTATCAAATCCTAAAGCTATGCTTCTAATAGGACCACAAAAGGCATACAATTTAAAGAAGCTATTCCTTATTTCGCAATATCGTTTTACCCACGAACGTTGTTAAATTATTTCATTAACGTACCGTTGTAACGAACAGAACTATACAAGTGATAAAGGTTTTTAGGTTCAGCAGCTAGTTTAGGTTTAGTTTTATTTATACTATAGTATCATACAAACCTTACCTGGACAGAATAGTAAATGCGTACTTGGTTCGAACTTGATTTCGAATTCGCATAAGGAGTATACTAAATTAGTACGAAATGATACTAATGGTAATTATCATCGTACGGTGTAGTAATAAACGTATATGGAAAAACGTATTTGTGTCAACAGGACCTACGCTAATAGGCTAATGCTGACCCTCCATACCTCGCTCATTCTATTTTGCACTTTTTTAAAGGATTCCCCCACCTTTTCGAAGGCTGCCCCACATCGGGGCTGAATGCTGTCTACCTGTCCGCATTCGTTGTACAACGGGTCACCGATAAGCCAAAAAGAAGAGGAAAGGGAGAAGCTGGAATATATATGGGGGTGAACTGGCCTAACGTCACTAGGCAGCGTTCGTTTGTGCGGTCGTACTGTCTGGGCCATGCCAAAACCGGGGTAAGTTTCCATCGAGTTAAAAATGAGAGAAAACGCGCAAAACAGCATATTGTCTCTAGCCGGATTCGCTTCAATCCCCTTAGGACGAGAAAGAAAATATATATATGTGTAAGGCACTACATCGTCGCCGAGGAAGTTATAAGGGTTCATTCGCTATAAGCTAGAAATATGTATATAGTGATGCTTGCTTCTCTTTAATGAAATCAGAACAGAAACCAACCTGACTCATCAGCGCTATTCACTAATAAAAAAAAAAATATTAACGTTGATAAGCACACTCACACACGGGTGGCTACGGCCGAGGAATATTTCCGACTACTCCTTAGTGCAAGCATCTAAGAATAGAAATATGTAACAAGCTGCATGCTTTGGAAATGCCTACTTCTGCGCTCACCAGTGTTGATTTCTTTTTATCTCGATGAGATGATCGTTGTGTCGAGGATACGCGTTCCACCAGCGAGGTATCCACACGTCAACAAAGATAACACTATTAGAAACTATTTTTTACCTAATCTAATGTATCTTTTTATGCGGCGAGAATAGGGCTCTGTGGAAGGCGACAGAAGACCCTGCGGTCAACTAATTGGCGTACAGCTACAGGTATAGCTGATGCCAACCTGGTAATATTGATGTAGGGGGTGATGATGGCGTGCATCATAATACATCGCACGTAATAGCGCTCTGCTAGTGCATTCATCAGATGCGTCCGGTGAACTTTTTAATCTTTCTCTCTTTCTTTCTCTCTCCCACTCTATATATA